CCTTCCTTCCTTCCTTCTCTCCTTCCTTCCTTCCTTCCTCCCTCCCTTCCTTCCTTCCTTCCTTCCTTCCTTCTTCCTTCCTTCTTTCCTCCCTCCCTCCCTTCTCTCTCTCTCTCTCTCTGCTCTTGTTTTCCCCTTAGATCCAGGTGACTCAGGCCGTGACAGACAGAAATTCAGCAGGTGCAGCTTGCTTTCTTCTTTACCATGTCTTTCTTTCTTTCTTTCTTTTTCTTTCTTTCTTTCTTTCTTTCTTTCTCTTTCTTTCTTTCTTTTCTTCCTTTCTTTTCTTTCTTTCTCCCTCCTTCCCTTCCTTCCTTTCTTCCTTCCTTCTTTCCTTCCTTCCTTCCTTCCCTCCCTTCCTTCCTTCCTTCCTTCCTTCCTTCCTTCCTTCCTTCTTTCCTCCCTCCCTCCCTTTTCTCTCTCTCTCTCTTTCTCTCTCTCTCTCTCTTTCTGCCCTTGTTTTCCCCTTAGATCCAGGTGACTCAGGCCGTGACAGACAGAAATTCAGCAGGTGCAGCCTGCTTTTTCCTTTAGCACACCTTTCCTTCCTTTTTTTTTTTTTTTTAACATCCTTTCAAACCGCTAGCTTGGCAGAAGCTGGTGGCTCAGGGGCTGAGAGGCTGAGCTTGTCGATCAGAAAGGTCGGCAGTTCGGCGGTTCGAATCCCCAGCGCCACGTCACGGAGCGAGCTCCCATGACTTCTCCCAAGGTTCTGCCAACCTTGAAAGCATGTTTAAAAAAAAAAATGCAAGTAGAAAAAACAGGGACCCCTTTGGTGGGAAGGGAACAATGTTCCATGGGCCTTCGGCATTTAGTCCTGCCGGCCACATGACCACGGAGACGTCTTCGGACGGCGCTGGCTCTTCTTTGGCTTTGCAATGGAGATGAGTACCGCCCCCTAGAGCTGGAAACAACTAGCACGGATGCACGAGGGGAACTTTTTTAACCTTTACTTCACCTTATCCAAGGTAGCCAAGACTACAGAGATGGGGACAGGAGGCCAAAAGGAGAGCAAAGGGGAAGGGGGAGGTGTACCTCAAAAGTAAAGGGGTACGCCTGCTCCCCCAGTTTCTTCACCAGCCGTTCCTGCAGTCTCGTCAGGGGCTTCTTCTCTTCAGCCACTGGAGGGAAAGCTTGGACATTGGAGACGAAGAGGTCTTTGCGGAAGGTGAGGCCCAGGACGTCCAGATCCTCGCGGCCGTAGCGGAAAGCGCAGGTCAACGTCACGAAAACTGCAGGGAGGGAAAACAAGAGAGGCCGGGATAGACCCAGAGGGGGGAGGAAGGGAGGCAAAGGTTGGGAAGTAGACCTTTCAGAATTCGATTCCAACACCCAAGGGAGGAAACACCCAAGTTGAAGAGCGAGAGAAAGCAACAGACAAAGAGATGGGGTAGGACTCAATGGTCAAGGAAGAACCTCGGGGCAGGATTTAAGGAAAAAGGCCTTCAGAAACAATAACGTAGCTTAATTTCTGTAGAGATTCGCCATCATCCAGGTTGTCTGAAAGGTACTTTTTTTTCAAGAGGCAACCGGACTTTTCTGGCTTTTTTTTTTTGAAGACATTTCGCTTCTCCTCCGAGAAGCTTCTTCAGTTCTGACTGGATGGTGGGGAAGGGAAAGATGGATATTCCTTGCAGACAGAACTGGTCATTTGCATCCTTTCAGAGGGTTGCTGAGGCCACTTGGAGGTTTATCTGCGTCCTCTCAGGGTCACCTGAGTGGTGCAAATGGTTCCTGTGGCCCGCAATTTTTCCCTCTGGAAATCCATTCCTACTCCCCCGCCGTCCCAAAGGTCTTCATCCCAAACCGTACAGCTAAAAATCGGTAAATCGTGCGGCTTGTTTGATTTTGTGCTCAACAGTTCTGTGACGGGAGTGAGTGAGTTTTAAATTTGGAATTTTTAATTGGGATCCAATTGATTTATTTAGAAACTGATCTGGTACGTCTAAGGCGATTTCCCAAAGTGAAAGTATTTTCGCCGGGTTACACAGAATCCACCTTCTCTCCTCCCACTTCTACACTTCATAAATCATGAGAACCAGTTAACTGCAACTGGAATTTCTTAACAGACATACGGAATGGCCTTGAAGTTTTCAACTCCTCTACCGCCCCTCCATTTTGTGGCAGCTGAATTTCAAACCTGACAATGGCAGGTTGCCCAGAGCCACCGTGTGTGAGTTAGGGGTGCTAGATAAATTGAAGAGTAAATTTAAGAATAAATTTAAGAGTAAATTGAAGAGTAAATTTAAGAGTAAATTTAAGAATAAATTGAAGAGTAAATTTAAGAATAAATTGAAGAGTAAATTTAAGAATAAATTTAAGAGTAAATTTAAGAATAAATTTAAGAGTAAATTTAAAAACAAATTTAAGAATAAATGTAAGAATACATTTAAGAGTAAATTTAAGAATAAATGTAAGAATAAATTTAAGAGTAAATTTAAGAATAAATTGAAGAATAAATTGAAGAGTAAATTTAAGAGTAAATTTAAAAATAAATTTAAGAATAAATGTAAGAATAAATTTAAGAATAAATGTAAGAGTAAATTTAAGAATAAATTGAAGAGTAACTTTAAGAGTAAGTTTAAGAGTAAATTTAAGAATAAATTTAAGAATACATTTAAGAGTAA